GGAATTCAACCGTAGTAATGGATCGATCAGATTACATAACAACAGTGAAAGAAATGTTACAGGACAGTAAAGTTTATAAAAAGATTACAGATAAACGTAGAAATCCTACAACAAGAACAGAAAATGACTTGCAAAAGATGCTCAAGACTTTATGTGATTCAGGACATCTGTCGGAGTCGGATTATTGGAAATTAAGACCTTTTGATTCCACGGCAGCAGCATTTTATGGCCTTCCCAAAGTCCATAAAATTCCGCTAAAAGAAGAACACGACCACTTCACCATTGAAAAGAAAAATCCTCCAACACAGATCCCCTTAAGACCAATAAATAGCTCGATCGGATCACCAACATATCAGTTGTCCAAGCACTTAGCGGGAATTTTACAATCATTGTATGAAGAGAATGGTTACTCAGTTAAAAATGCACAAGCTTTTTCGGAGTTTGTGTGTACCCAGAGAGTTGAGAAAGATGAAATGGTTGTATCATTTGATGTTATTTCACTATTCACTTCCATCCCCGTAAAAATGGCTGTGGATGTAGTGAAGCGACGACTTTCTGAATCCCACAAATGGAAAGGATGTACACTTTTGACTGCTAAACAAGTCGTAAATCTTCTGGTATTTGTCTTGAACAACAGTTTTTTCAAATTTCAAGGAAACTTTTTTCATCAAATTTCAGGGTGTGCCATGGGATCGCCGGTGAGTGCCGTTATCGCGGAACTTATTATGCAAGAAGTCGAAGGAATAGCTATAACGACATCGCCAGTTGACTTGAAATGGTGGAAACGTTATGTAGACGACTCCAATTCTTGTCTAAAACGTTGCTGCGTTCAAAGTTTTCACGACCATTTGAATTCGATAAATCCATGTATTCAATTCACCATTGAGTTACCTACGACTGTGGGCGATAATGACGTCATTTCGTTCCTGGATACGGAAGTTGTTGTCAGACCAAGCGGAAACGTGGTGGTGGCAGTACACAGAAAAGCTACACATACGGACAAATATTTATCATTCAACTCACACAATCCAAAACAACACAAAGCTACAGTGGTTAAAACGTTGCTTGATCGAGCTGATAAAATTCCGAATACTATCCAGGGGAAAAAAGCTGAGAAACAAAATGTTCGAAAGGCCTTAAGTGTAAATGGTTACACATCTGCTTTTATAAACAGTGTTGCAAGTAAACCCGAAAGTTCGAACAAACCAACCTCTGTTACTGAACCCAAAGGCTATGCATGTATTCCATATGTCAAAGGCGTTTCTGAGAGAGTCAACCGAATCTTGACTGGTGCCAATATCAGAACAGCGTATAAGTCACTAACAACATTGGGCGGAATATTCAAAAAACCGAAAGACAGACCATCAGAAACTCAAGTCAAAGGCATTGTTTACAAATTCAAATGTAAAACATGTAATTTCCTTTACATCGGAGAAAGTAAAAGATCATGGAAATCCCGTTGGGCTGAACATAAACCGGGAACAAGACGGCAGATCGAGTCGGCTATAAAGGAACATGCAGAACGAACTGGACACGAAGTATGCTCTGGGGATGTAGAAATTTTAGAGAGGGGCGTACATAATTATGATAAACGTATATTTCTCGAGTCATTACACTCAACAAAGGAGACAATGGCAGTTAATGAGCGTAAAATTTTCCCGCAAACTTATTTGCCTTTGTTGCATACCTTGTAAAATTTGCATATGCTAAGTATTTAAAACTTGTTCAAATCAACTTGACATTAGTTAACTCTGAGGAAGGTCGCAGTTAGCGACCGAAAATTCAGTATACTTTTTTATCTTTTTAATTGTATATAATAGATCAGTTGCAACAATAAACGAAAACATGTCTCTTACTGATCGCACAACCAGCATATATATATATATATATATATATATATATATATATATATATATATATATATATATATATATATATATATATATATATATATAATCATTGGCACAGGATAAATAATTATTGGTCTACATTCATTTAAATACACTATAAGCGTGTGTAATTGATATGAAAAGATATGCCGATGACGTAATGGGTCGAGGTCTAGTGCTCCACCCGACGCAGAACCCCCCTTCCCTATATTACACGCCTCCGTATAAACAGGCCCTTAAAGGACTAATTTTCTCTCGCAAAGGTTCCAACAGACTAATTTATCGAAGCATCAGAAGTTTCATTGGTACTGCACGTGTCATTTTGGGTAATCAAATATGGCAAGAAATGTTCATGAAAAATACAGCTGAATTCGTCAGTAAAACGTCGCTCTGCTTGTCTATGAATATTATATAAGATTACTGATTAGGTTTGATGTGTCAACAAAATAACTGGGATTTGTATGGCTCATATTTTTCAACACGACACTGCAAATTCAAATGCCTAACAACATTTACTTTTTCAACATTCAATGACCAAAGAGAATATGCAGGACTTGCATTCAAACCCTTTATTATTAAAGCGAAGCGAAGTTAAATCTGCTGTGAACTCTAGCTGACAAAAATCATGTGGTTTGGTACCAAATTGAAATGTCGGATTTGAATTTCCAGTCGATAAAACACCGCAAGACAAATTATTGACGCTTTGAAACAAAGTATCTTTGATAAGTGTAATAAAAATAACACAACACCACTGATTACCTAACAATAAACTGCAGGAAAAACCCCAAACAACAGCCAAAATCTCCTTCTGTCTTCGCAACTAGCACATAGAAAATAAGACGCCGCACGAAAAGGAGGCGAATGCCATAAACACGAAAGCGAGGCAAATGTTACATCCAAAAATCTCGAAAGGACAAAGCATCAGGCCGTGACGCTACGATTAGGAAGCGTTCTCTTTCGTTGAACGCAACTATTGGAGCTTTACGCCATTCCACTTTTGTGACTAAGTTAGAAATATCAGAACATTGTGGCGATAAGAATTTGATTATTTTGGCACATTTCTGACTAAAATCCGCCATCTTTAATTAATTTTGAATAAAACCTGAGTAAACGTATTTATTTTTTTCTAATCCTTGACCTGAAATCACAAACTTTATTAACACATTCACAAAACTAAACAAGTAAGTTCAAAACATGACTTTTGTTAAGACTTCCCTTATTTATGGTGGCAAAGAACAGGATATACCGTTTGACATGGGAAAGGCATCAGTTATTTGTCATGATGCTCTATTGCTCTTTATTGAATTTCCTTCTAGGGCATACAACGTAATGGATTAACTACATTTGATGAACAATGGCAGGCGTTTTTGTCGATGCTGGAGACACAATGTTTCAGATTTTCATATTATTATGTACATCTACAGTAATTATTATTCTTTGAATAAGTTAATTGTTTCTGTTCAGCATTATTCAATGCAGGATAAGAAATTGCCAGTGCCATTACTAATGTATACATTAATTATATATTAATTTTCGTTCAGGTTCCCGACATCATGCTGAATGTCAATTGTCTTACCTCAGCTGAAGCAATTCTTTCCAAACCAGAAGGTTTTCCAGCTTCAATTAGCTTTGGGAAATGCTAATTTCAACTTGACAACCCAGCTTATAATTTACTGCAAATGATATGTTATATGTTGAAACGTTGTGTTTGTTAAACGTAGTTAGAAAAGGTGCAATCTACGTTAATTGTTGATGTTATGGTTTTAGATTCTGTAAGTGTCATTTCATCACAATCAAGTGACGTGAAAACAGCACTGCTTCTTATAGTACCAGTGCTTCCATTTGTAAGGAAATTTCCTTGCAAAAGAAAATTTTGGTACTTGCAGGGAAAAATGCAAGTAAATAAAATTGACAAGGCAATACCAAAGGAAATCTACTCAAGCAAAGAAATTGAAAGGTTACGATACGATTTTATGTTGTTTTCTAGCCTAATCCCTGGCTCTCTCGCGTGTCCAGGTCGGTTCAATCGGTTTCTAATTAATGCCAAATAGCGACCTGGCTTCCAGCAGAAGCGAAAGGTCAGGAACTAGGCCAGTGCTGGATTAACCTTTCCAGGTCCGGGGGCAAAATTATTTTAAGGGCCGGTCACAAAATGCGAATTCGTCCGTCGCTGTGAAAAAGTCCGATTTCTCCAGCCATATAAAACTGCATTTCCTCCGCTGTCTCGCGTTTCGGGTCCACAAAACACACCGTTTCCCTCGGTCTCAGTAAACAAGTGATAATTGAAAACACTGAGGTAAATGAGATTGCTTTTATTAGTCGATGATCACATTATCTAAACTTTTAAAGGAAAACTATAAATTTTTGGTGTTCTTTTGGCCAGTGGATATCCAATGCCCATTTTGCCCCTTAGATAATCCGGCACTAAACCAGGGTAGTTTTTTAATTGCTTTTATTGTTCTTCATAATATATAAGACTTAAACAATAAGAAATAGTTATCGATGAGTTTTTTAATTGTGGTTTCAGCGTTATGACACCATATGTTCAACATCTTTGCGCATCAGGCACAAGCGCATGAGGCTTGAGTCACAAGAATACAAGTTGTTGATGCGCAGTCTGCGCCATAACAAAACAGCTGTCTGATTGGTCAGTTTTTAAGATTACGTAATTGCCCGGTTGCTATGGAAATCACAAGATGGCCGAAGGCCGAAGGAGAGTAAATTGTGTGTGTTCTTTCGAATTACTGTTAAAATACTGCAAATATTGATGGAAATATTATTTTAAAGATCTTCAGAAGAAGGAATTTTAAAGTCTATCAATATTGGGATGATTGTGTGTGTATTTTGTTCTATTATGTCAGGAATCGAGGCGATCACACGTAATTGTATTTTTCTTCGGCCTTGGGTCATGTCGTGCAGTAATGGCTACAATTTGCTTTTGGTCTTTAAAAAAACAACCAATGGTTACGCACTTTATTTTACGTTTGATACCATATTTGTAATGTTGCCTTCATATGTTAAGAGCCTGTGGCGGGAAAATTCATTCAACTTTTTGTTGGTGTACTTCGGACTTCTGTTGCTCAGAGTTTTAAACTACATTTTATATAGTTTTTAACAGTCTTTTTAAGGACTATTTACTGCAGTAGCATGAGGTCTGTATTTCCCTGTTGTGTTTGCGGAAAAAAGTCGGCGAATTCGGGTTTTGTAAACCCTGGTATACGCGAAAAGTGCATTTGTAGGCCTTGTTATGCACGTCAAGTACGAGCATGTTTGAAAACTATTGGTGTTCACGCAGAAACACAAACTGAATTGACCACTGGTATCTCTGAAGGAGGTATGTGCATTTCGTTATCATTTATTTTTTGTATTTGTTGCTCCATGTGTATGTGGCATGTATTTTAAAGTTTGACTTTTTTTACTCACACAGAAACAAGCAGTCAAAGTTCAAGCTCATACCTCACTGTTTCTGGTTAGTACATGTAGTTATTCTGTAAAAGTTTCGTGGTTTACTCTTTCTATAAACACCAGATATAATACTCATTAGGGGAGAGTGCTGCTGCACTTCAATGGGTTAATATAAATTATTTTCTTTCAGGTGCAGAAATAGTTCAAGAGGTTGAGAACTTTCAACAGGCATACTTGTCAGAGTATGCTAAGACAAAGGTTATGCCAATTTATGACCCAAAAAGATTTAAATTGTTTTGTCATAACCATGGTGCCCCTCATTTATTTAATTTTATTTCTGCTTGTATGACCAGTTCCCGCCATACAAGAGCGAGAAAATGCCTAAATGAGAAGCGCACAGTATC